AACAATATAAAAAAGGGTACAGACACTGCTGAACACGATTCAGCTCTAAAGTACAAGCCTACCAACTAACTCAACGCAACCTGGATCCTTATGTTGTCACCACAGCCAAAGAATTCCCAACTACAGGAGTTTATGCTCAATTTCTCTACTTTTCAGCGCCTGCCTCAACAGCAAAACCAGATGGATGATTAATCACTGTTATCCCAGATCATTTCCTGCATATACTCAAGGTCTTCTTTCAGCTCATACCTAACAAGAAATTCTCTACGGAAACTAACTCTGTTCAACAAAAGAAAACATAACTTTTTGAAGCTAAAAACGTTTTTACAAAACTACAATTATTTTCCTCTCTGATACAGAGTCCAGTAGGCTACTGGAAATTTAGATGAAAAAGGCATATGATTGAGTTTAGGGGGAAAAAAAAGAGGGAAGAGACAGGAAGGTGGTGCACAGGTGGGGCAGGGGCAGGGGCGGACTGTGGGTGAGAGCCAGCATGGGTTGGGAGGCAAGCCAGATGCCAGAGGATATGGATCATGGATGGATATGCATTACAGGATGATTGGAACGTGCAGGGATTGAAGACAACGGAGAGACAAGTGCAACAGGAGTACACAGGTCAGCACAACCACACTCTGCAGAGTAGGAAATGAGGTTCAGCATGAACAACTCATCATGGGAGTTAGGGGACTGGATGTAACGGGACAGCCGGAGACAAGGAGACAAAGAGCATTGGTTCAAGGAGTTTGCAGGATCAAGGGTGAGTGAGCCGCCTGGACAAGCAAATTGTAATGAATGAAAAAAAGAATCTGGGCAGGGAGATGGGAAAACGCGTGCAACAGGAGATGATGGGGCTGGTGCTGGCGCTGACAGCAATGGATGCGGAGGGGAAAGGGAATGGGATACCTTGTGGGGAGATTGGATGGCAAATGCACTAGAGATGGGAGTGGGCGCAGGTTGGGTGTACATGTAAGAGAGTTATTTGGAAGGGAAAGGGCTATAAATGGGAAGGGGGTGCAGATGCAAGGATTGTACAAACCTAGTATCATGTGTACACAGGGCCTGTAAGAGATGGGGAAGAGCACATATACAAGGGACTTGGGAGGCAAGAACTGGGAAAGTGGAGGTTTGACAAGCATGCACGTTTGCTGGGATGAAAAAGCACCATGATCACAAGAGACAGACAGACAGCCAGAGAGGGCAAGAGAGAGGGAGAGAGACAGACAGACAGCCAGCCAGCCAGAGAAGACAGAGAGAGACAGAGCCATGCAGGTGTCAATGACTACAAGCACAAGTAACAGCAAGCCAGAGAGGAAATACAGGGAAAAGAAAAGAAAATTTCTATCAGATTTGGACAACAACTGCTGCATTCACAAAAATCAGAAATACCTCCTAATATGAAGTTGGAGTCTTGGATTCCTTAGCTCAATTACCAACTTTTCCAAAAACAAAATCACCAATGGATATTGAAAATTAAACTAATATAATGTTCCACAATGACAACCAAAATAATATACTGATTTAAAGAAAACAATAAATCTGTGGAATGCTTCCAGCAGTTTGAACGCTGTACAGCAACAAAAAAAAATTGCATTGATTTAGTATTCTGTCTTCCGTACATCCAAAATCACTTCAAAATCAATGACAAATCTCTAGGCTAGAACAAGGTCATATATTACTTCAATTATTTAGCCTAAATAATTTAAGGAATGTAATGAGAGAGAGAATTTTTTTTCAACTTTTCGCTATTAACACTTCGACTGGGGAGAAGTTTAAGAACTACTGCTAAGTGTTGCTACCAGGAGTAGCAATCCCAGCTCCACACTACAAGTACAGGAGAATCTTTAAAGCAACTGAATAATCTTGAAGACTACTATTTGATAAAAGAACACTGATTAACAAAAATACTATCATTGCATAATAAGGTAACACTTCTAAACTTCAGAAGCTTAAACACAACACAAGTCTGTTACTGAATTAAATAACGCACAGGGCATTACAAAGCAAAGGGAACTGTATTGAAAACAATTTTAACTGGAGGGAAACACAAATAGTCTAAGACCTTTAGGCTGTTTCACCATATTAAGGACAATTTTATTAATTAGAATTCTGTATGCCAATGATTCAGTGATAGTTGATAGCATGCATAATACCAATGTGGAATAATACTGTGTGAAACAGTCACATAAGTTACTAAGAGTGTACAATTAGATTGCCAAGAATTTTGTCACTCATATTCCATGACCACTATACAAATGTATTGTGGTAACTGTGGATACTGCACATATATTCGGACCATATTATTAGTTACTCAAGATGTTTTAAATGTAAAATTCAGATGAATATATTTATAGTATTTAGGCATCAAAATTATTTCAATACCAACATAAAAACAGCAAATCATAATACATTTTAAACTTCAAATGGGAATAGGAGTCATTTGAAATTACTAGTACTTACACAATGCCGTTGAAATAATAAATATCTCATATCACAGAGCAGAAACCAATGCTAAGCAACGACAGAAGAGCTCTGGAACTGACTATTAACGAGGTTGAAGAGATCAGCGTTGAGGCTTTTGAATGTGGGAAATTAAGTTTAGGAAGAGTTCAAGGAAGAAAATTCCTCAAAACTGGTGAGTGCTCTGCTGCACCACAATGGATAGGAGTGGTGAAGAAGGTGAAAGCATGTAGTACAGGCTGTATCAGAACACCAACATACATTCGTATAGAATCTTGAACATTCTGAAACATTTCCAGAAGACCATCGTAAGACAAAAATCTGACACTGAGTCACATAAGGTAGCATTATTTCAGATGACAAAAAGCTTGGTCAAAAAGGTAGTTATTAAGTCAATTCTTAAAGTATGGAAAGTTAGTAGAGGTATAGGACCAAAGATGACAGACCAAGAGAGTTAAGATAGAAAAGTCAAGCAGATTAATATGATGAATGTTTTATCAGAATGTTGCTGTCAGCAATTTCAATGCAAATACATAAGAAAAGGAAATATTGTGGGACCATTCAATCATAGGAAATCAAAAATGACGAGTGAAAGCTCACCCATACAAAGTTAATGAATACACGACGCTGAAACATACAACCTGCTTTACTTGAAATTACAACAAGGAAATATGAAGTAATTTCTACCACATTGTCAATTAGAACAGCAATCAAAGATCAAATATTTTTATCCTACTAGTACCATACAAGTACAGAGGAAATAGCGCTTAGGTTGTCCAAACTTGTAGATTTAAATTGCACTTTTGAAAACTTTAAATGGTTTCCCACTCCCACCCATTGAAACCAAGTAGAATGTACTGTCCATGCTTTGCAAGTAAATCTCCAACTTCATGATTGACAATTTAAGCAAAATAGGTACAGATCAGTCTCCTACAGTGACAACAGCATCAAATATGATAACGAATTTTATAAAACTAAATGAAAATCAAGAAAGTAATAATGCACTATAGTGAGTTTTTAAATTCCGCTACACTGAGCTTTCACCTGTGTAGTGAAACTATGCTGCTTCCAATTACTCAAAACATCTGGTACACATCAAATGACTCAACATACCGAATAGAATGAGAAGCAACAAACTAAAAACAATTCATCAATTCTACCATACGTGTATTTGAATATCAGAGACAGTGTCATGATAGCTCACCATAAATTGAAACCCCAGTACCTTATTGTGGTTCTTCAGATATACATTTGAATATTAAGAATATAAAAGTTAACGAATTTGATGTTGAAGACTGCTAGACTAAGTTTATTTCAAAGAAGCCAAATGTTTCAAATCACTGGATCTTCACAGGTGAACTAACACTAAATCGACACCTTTACTATAAAAAGCAAGCTTAAAATTACCAGAAACAGAAGTGAGAGAAATTAGAGAAATCATTGAATTTCAATACCTCAGTAAGAATAAGAAATACATTTCCTGAACTTCAATACTGCTGTGGACTAGATGTGTGAAGGATTACAATACCGGATTGAAGTGTTGGAGTGAAGAGTTATGAACGATAATACTTCAGGGCATCAAGTCGCAAAAATCAATATTTTTCAGAGCAAATTCTGAACCTTGGTATCAGTCAAATTGATTGGGAGCGAAATTTATTGAACATGGAGGCCAAATTTGTGAATGGCAAAATCACTTTTGAACTGTTTTAATCTTATAGAAGTTGAATTAACATATTCATCCTTGTGCTATTAGTTTGACATAATGCAAAGTAATCTGAATTTCATGCTTCCGAAAGATAAATTTTGATGAGCAAGTAGGGGATTGGGCATTATTTCTAAATAATAAAAGATTTACAGATAAATAGGGTGCAACAGTTTTGTATTGATGGGTACATGATTAAATTGTTACCAGCGAATGGGAATAAGATTGAAGAGTGCGGTATGTACATGTGTGAATATGCGATGTCTAAACTTCAATACTTTCACGGATGAACGAAGGTGGTATCTGAAATTTGATGGCCGATGTTTTTGTTGGTCTCTCAATTCGCTGCTGTTCAGAATCGGACACTTGGATCGGTGACCTCTGGACCTCTTAACCTCACTTTTCAGATGAATACGGATGCAGCATGATACTTCGATGTGTGACTACAGAAGGGCTCTATACCTTGACGTTTTGATGGGGGAATAGGGGCAATCTTTGAACCCAGATACTTGAACAGATAAGTGATTTCTAAAGCTCAGTATTTTGACGTGTCAGTTGGGGGGCGGAGGGAAGAGGAGAACGAGAGGGATATCGCCAGAACTCGGTGTTTTTGATGCATGGCAGGTGGTGAGCGGGAGTATCTGAAGCTCTATATTGAGGAGCACGGGGCATTTTTTGAACCTTGGTATTTCAATGCGTGAACATTGGGTAAATTCCATCCCGAATATTTTAATGCGTGAATGGAGCTGGTGACGGGAACTGGACATTTTGATGGATGCCGGTGGGAAAGACTGATTTCTGCATGGTTAAACCAACAAGGATAACCCAGGGATCTAGGTACCTTTGAGAGGTGGAAGAAGCAGGATCTCGACCGGGCTGCTCCGACTCCTGAACTGCGACGATCCCTGCGACCTCTTCTGCCTGGCCGCTTTCCGCACGGATTTCCTGGTGAAACCATCTACTTTTTCCGCCGCTGTCACCACTGCCGCCGCTGCCGACATCTTCTTGAAAACACACTGGCGATCACACCGGCAGAAAAATTAGCGGCAGCGAGCGATGAGCTGCGTGTTTGTGAATTCGATCCAATATAGGATTTAAAGTAACCGTCAGGGAAAGGGATGGGGGAATTGAAGAGCGTGGGGGTGAAATTATACGTTTTTTTAATAAGTGAAGTCGATGATAGGGTGAATGAAGTTAGTGTTGGCGGCAAGGGCCGGAGCTCTGTCCTCTAGCCCCCTCGAGGCCTGCTCAGCAGCGCTGCCGCCACCTCCCCTGCCTCCCCACTCCCCGGGGAGTGGCTGTTGGTCGTTCCCCCCTCCTCCTCGGAGCCTGAGCTAATACGTTGTCAAACCCCGCAACCTGCCGCTGTTGCCTTCACTCGCCGCCGTTCTCGGTGCGTCCATCAACAGACGGGCCAACAGGCGCCACCCGCAACAACGACGACGATGATAATTTTTTTCCAATAGGCTGAAACCGTTCAAGGTTGATCGTGGCTTTAAATTTAAAAACACGGACGTTTTTTTTTAAAAAAAAAGGGGACCACCAACTGTCGCCACCTCCCTCACGCTCTCCAAAACACATCAATTGAGTTGGGACTCAACTAATACTGTTGAGCGGAAATGTCGGGGTGTTGTTTTTGATTGGCGTGCCGCTGACCAATCATAAAGCGGAAAACGACACGGCCTCAAATACTTTGCCGGTGTCGTTGACGTCATCGGACCAATCAAAGTGCCTCAGGGGCGGGCCGAACCGCAAACTACCATGTTCAGTTGACGGAGGCCATATTGCTTCTAGGGCAGGTGATAAGGAAGGCTGACGTGATTGGCTGTTCGCGTGTGACCGTGTTGTGTTGTTATGGGTATGTGAAGGTATTTGTGTTTTAGGAGGAAACGTATTTCTCCCCTTTCAACTTTAAATATAATGTTTTGACATTATTCCGTCTGTTAAATTTTTAATCGCTAAAGTATTTTGCACCATATTTATGAACAGCATCGTTATTGCTTTCACTGATTAAGGTTAAATCTTTAAAAATGCACAAATCTGCATCAGTATTTTGTTTACTTATGACATCCCAGACTTGTGATACCTCGTTGGCTATGTCCTGTATCAGATTCATATATTTCACCTTTTCAAAATATAATATTACTGATGTTTGTGACTTCTGAAAATTAATTTCCCACAGTTAATAGCTGAAAAATGGTTGATGAACACAGGCACGGAATATTTATTTGTTTATTATTTACATTTGATAGATGTAGAATTCAAGGTGACTTTTAAAGTGTTTGCCAATTTCAGGTGACCTTTGGTAGAGAATTAACTTTATATTTAGAATGTTGAATTTTTATTTCTAAAATTATAGTTAAAGATGCTTTAATAGTGTATAAAGTATTGCTGTTATAAAACTGGATTTATTTTAGGAAGTCCACAAAACAAAAATAATAGATCTAGCAGAGGTTCATTTAGAATTAACTGAATGTCCGCACTGATGACTTGCTAGTTCAGATTCATAGTTATAATAGCTGAAAATTTTTATTAATTGATGTTACTATTGTGCTGGATAACAACATATAAAATACAAAAGCAGAAAATTCCAGAAATACTCAGGTTGCTCAGCTAGCATCTGTGGAGAAGAACAATTAACATTTCCAGTCAATAATCTTTTAGAATTAATCTGATGAGAAGTTATTGTCTCGAAATGTTAAATGTGTTTTCTATCCACATTTGTTACCTGACCACAGAATTTGCACGATATTCTGTTTTTATTTTAGATTTCTGGTATCTGTAGAAGTTTCTTTAGTATTTTCAAGTCTTATGAAATGAAGGAAAAATGTGAAATTAAGCCAAAATGCTGAAAATATACATTAGTAGCATCTGTGAAGAAGAGAGCATGTTTGGGTTTCTACCATTGATCCTCACACCACAATACAAATTTAAGCACATCATATACCTTGATTAGGAATCCAATCTTTTCAAAAAGAAACTAATGGAACCTAAAGAGATTTGGGGATACTTGTGCATGAAACACAGAAAGTTAGCACACTGTTGCAGCAGGTAATCACAAAGGCTAATGGAGTTTTTGCCTTTTTTCAAAGGCATTGGAGTATAAAAGTAGGGAAGTCTGGCTGCAACTGTACAAGGTGCTGGTAAGACCACATCTGGATTACTGTGAGCAGTTTTGGTCCCCATATTTTGGGAAGGATATTTCATTGGAGGTAGTTCAGAGAAGGTTCACTAAAATGATTCCCAGTATGAATCATCTGCCTTATGAGCAAAGGCTAAACAGGTTTGGACTGTATTTATTGGAGTTTAGAAAAATGAGAGGTGATCTCATTGAGACATATTGTATTCTTAACGGGCTTGACAGGGCAAATGCTGAGAGGCTGTTTCCCCTTGTTTATTGACATTGTTTACACATATCCAATTAGCTTGCTTAACCTGTGCTGCACCCAAAATGCAATTTCTGTTACATGAGCACCATATTTCATTGGTCTTTCCAAAAATGTAATCATTTAACTTCCAGAGGTAAATTTTGCCAATAGTACATTCCAAACAAAAAAAAACTGTTTTGGAGAGTGTATAAAATGTTTAGTTAGAAAAAAAAATGCTATGACGGTCATAAAATTAAAAATTTCTTTCTATTCATAGAATCCTGGAAGTGCAGACAGAGGCCATTCAGCCCATCAAGTCTGCACCCAACTCTGAACAGCCTCACTATCAACAGCACCAGCCTCTATATTCATAATTTCATATTAATTTGCTTGGCTTTTCTACCTCTGGTTTCTCAGTCCTATATCTCCCCACCTCCACTTGCTTTCCTTCCTCAAGGGATGACTTGAAACCCACACTGACCAAGCAGGAAGGGTCACTGGACCCGAAACGTTAACTCTGATTTCTCTCCACAGATGCTGCCAGACTGCCTGTGGAGCTTTTCCATGGATTTCTGTTTTTGTTTCTGACCAAGCTACTTGGTAAATCAGGGTCTGACTGATCAGA